TATTTCACACCAAGAAATAGATAGAGATAAGTTTACAATTGAAGGAAGTTGCAGTTACTGGAGACTATTTTATTACTCTAATCATGATAATTGATTTAACGTTCCATTGATTGTAATCATTATTTTTAATTTCATTTCGACTTAAAATAAAGATTATCATCTATTATCTCTATTGTATTAGATTCTAATCAATTCTCTCGAAACTTTTTCCTCTTCGTTCCCATGTAACTTTCTCCATCTTTAACATCTATCTAAATGGTCTCGATTCAATTTGGAGGTCAAAATGATGAAGATGAAAATGAGGATAAACATGAAGACGATAAAGGGATGATAAGAGATGCTAGATAATGAGCCATGCAATGAAAATAACATTAACATTCCTTCATCTTGGAACTTTTTTCCTCTCATCTTCTCATCTTCTTTCCTCTTCCTCCATTGTCTTCGTATTTGTTTTACAATTATCATCTTCATCCTTTAGCTTCTCATCATCGTCTTTAACATTCCAGACTTGATCTTCTTTATCAAGAAAAAGAAAACCAGAAAAGGAAGAAGAAAAAATAAGAGATCAGAACTTTTTTCCCTCTTCGATCTTTACTCTGTATTCAGAACTTGACCATCAATAGTTGACCATATACACTTTTATTTATCATGACGATTATAATCAAAATTCAATCCCCTAATCTTATTTTATTTACTTGATCAGTTGAAGTAAATGTGAAATTGATTGATGATAAATAATCACCAATGATGAACCAGAATCCAACATGATAATATCACCTATCAGGGTGATAATGATAATAATAAACAATATTTAGCTCAAAGTGACAGTTATAATATAATGTATTGATTACACACACACACAAAGAAACTTAATATAATCAATTTTTAATATTAATCACATTTCAATGTAAACAATAATGATCAACAAATGATGATGACGATGGTTATGATTGTCAACTAATTGTTATCATCAAGAAAAATGTCAACTAATAATCAATATGATGACCATCATGAAAAACTGAACATGAGGATAACCTTTATGATATTTCCCATGGATGGATTGATGAAAAATTCTGAATCTATTATTATGATTCAAGTCTATTATATTATCAATTCTTGAAACTTTAATAATAATGATAATCATCTTGTCACCATTCTGATCATCACCATGAAAGAGCATGATTTATTCAATGAATAGCAAATCATCAGAAGCGTTGTATCAAAAAGTTTTCAGAATACATCGAGTGTAGTAGTTAGTTTATCAAAATGGAATATTAAATTTAGAACAAAAGAGAAGAAAGAAAAAAAATTCTAAATTCAAGTAATATATATTTTCCAGGGTGGGGGGAAGTGTAAACATGAGAAAATATCAACCAGAACTTTTTTACTTCTCTTCGAGTAATATGATGATGATGATAAGGAATAAGAACGAAGGAGGAAATATTTTATTCGATGAAACTTATATGAATCCCTTTTATTCAGAATATGAATAATATTCTTAGATATTCATGATAATATTCAGTTTGGTTCTGGTCTAGAGAATAGACGATTCTCATTTTCTTTCATGAGCAAATCTATTCTTTCTCATGAAATCTCATTCTCAAGTTATCGTTTCTCTCAAGCCTCAAGTTCAAGACGTGTATTCATTTCAATACAGAATAAATCATGAAACATATTTCATTTTATTTCCTTTGAACTTGAAACATCCTCTTTATCTTACTCAGCTTTTACCTCTCCATGATAATCATGGTAATCGTCATCATTATGGGTCCACCATCATCATCATCATCATCATCATGTTAAGGATATAAAATTCTGATTCCAATTTGAACCAATAATTTCATTCCCTTTTGATTCTGAATATGAAACAATATGTTTTTCAGTTGATGATAAAATTGAACATTCACTCAACATGATCATCATGGTTTTGTTTTCTTCCAAGATGAAAAAGTTCATAAAATCAACCAGGGTTATCAGAACTGAACATGAATCTATCTAATATATTTTTACAAGCAAAATTATATCAACTGTATTATTTGGCGTTTAATTGTTTTCACCTAATTGAATCAAGTGAGAATTAAATTATCAGAGTAATTTGAAACATTGTAATAATATTCATCATAATTGTGAGCAAATAAATGGGTTGAGAAAATTTCATCTTCTTTGTTCAGTTGAGTTGAGTTTTTCTTGCTTCTCATCTGTCTGAAGATAACTGTAGAATCCTATCAAGTTAAATTCACCCTGAAATGATTGATTCTCATGAATTGTCTGTTTATCGGTCTGGTTCATATTATTCAATCTGATTGTTAACTAAATTGCAAGTTCAATCTTCATGTAAAAATTTATTTTCCAAAAAGTGAAATTCAATAGAAGGAGAAAAAAAAATCTCATGTTAAAATGCTATGAAAAGATAATAATATTTATCGTGGATCATCATGAAAAATATTTCATTTCTGAATAATCATTTTTATTGAACGATCCAGGATGAAAATTTGCTTACAGTTGTCGATAAAAGTTTATGAACGACATGTAATTCAATATAAAATTCAGATTCTTAAGGCTACAAGAGCTGAGATTTTTAGAACTGAATTTATCAGATTAACGTGTTCAGAGTATTTATGACTCATATTTTCAGTTCATTTCGTTTAATTAACTGAATATCATGTTAGTTTAATGGGTTAAGATTATGATATTTTCTAACAAAAGGTTGACTATTAGGGGACGGAAAGTTTTTCACCATGGAAACAAAACTCAAGATGAAAGATAAACAGAATTGAAATTGGGAGAGGAAAAGAAGACACAAAATATCAGTTATACTTTTGTTCATTGTTGATGTTTATACTCATAGTAAATAATAATAACAATCATGATAATCTGGATAGTGTAGTGAGTAAGTTCAGTTTAATTTCATAGTTCGTTTATTTTTTCTGGACTGAAGGTGAGCTAAGGCAAAAAAGGTTAGATTATCGTTTTGTTGGATCGAATCTGCTTCAGGGCTGATACATTCAGTTAGAGAAAGGTAAATATAAGGATGAGGATAAAAAGAGAAGATAAAGGTGAGAACAAAAAATTGATTCTATTTACAGAAACTGTCAACAAGAAAATAAGAGAGAGAGAGAGAGAAATTGACTCTCCCCTGTAGATCAGTTTGCATGGAGATCATTGAATTCACACAATGTTTATCTTCTTTATCATCTTCATCTCCACTTCCCACCATTACCTGTCATCTTTCATGACTCTCTCTCTCTCTCTTTCTCTCTCTCTCTCTCTCGTTTCATCTTGACGATTATTTGATCTTCCAAGCAGCTCATTGATTGACTTTATTAAAGTTATACAATGTCACTATAACCCCCTCAGGCTATTTGACTTTGTGCCAATCTGATGATGATGTTTATCAGAGTGTCGTTAAAGTGAAGGCGATTAAAATGAAAGTGACATTTATTGAATAATCAATTGTTTGTTTTTGTTTTCATTTTCATCTAATTCAATTTTCCCTGATCCAAATTAATTGTGTTTAATCATGATAATTATGAAATCCCACCAGAAGATAAAATTAATGAAATTCAATTCAATTCAATTAATTGATCGATATTATATCAAAATAAAAAATCCCGATGAGTTTACAATCATTTATCAAATAGATTTGACTTTGAATTGTTACAACAATTATTCATAAGTAAATACATTATCCTATTACAAGTAACAAACAATCAATTTAAATTTAGATGAACAATTAATTTTCATATACTATTAACAAGTGTAAACAATTAACAACTAATTGATTTGTTGGTTGGTGATTACAATGTAAATGTTTCTCAATGAAAATTAATGATGACCAAATTAAATATTGACTCAATTGTTCAAGTTGACAGTTTATTTTTTTTTACTTCCATGATAATCTCCTGAATGATTGAGTGTTACAATTAACTTTTAATCATTTTGATTCAGTTTCAAGATGATAATGATAATATGAGTATGAGCTCAATCAATAATCAACAATTAAGTGTTTACAATAAACTAATAATAATCTCAAAGTTGAACTTTTGAAAGTTTATTTTCTTGTAACGAAATCCATGTAACCGTATTTTCAATGAGTATAAAATTTTCATGAGAATCAGCAGAATCTTGAAAAAGTTGATAAGTTTCAGAGCATTTTTCTATCACTTGGAACATTATCTAATAATAACAATAAAGGTAACTGATATCATGAACTTTTCGATTAGAACCAATTCTGTCCGAACAAAGTTTCCAGTGGAAACTGAATTAATAATAGTTGATTTAATAAGAGAAAAGTTTTTTTTTTCGTCGATTTTTGTTGTTTTTTTTTCTTCTCCTCAAATTCGAGAAATGTTATTACTATTACATGGACAATAGAATGAGTCTGGTCAGCAATGTTTTAATATGTTACGATAATAGTTCTGGATAATAGATGAGGAGGAAAGTGGGTGATGTGGGTTGGTAACTTGTCAGGTTTCGAGGAAAATTGTTCGAGAGTGAAAATGTATACATATAAGTTTTTTTCCTCTATGAATCGAATGGGGTGAAAATAAAAAAGTTCTCAAAAATTCTGGTTATCATTATAATGGCTCTGAAAAACATCATGAACCCTCAGCATGAGCATCAATGGTAATGAGTTACGGTTTCAAATTCAAAGTTGTTCAACGATTTATCATCATTAAAGTCATCAAATTGATCATCATCATGAGCATCATCATCATCTTACTCATAATCATTATGATGATATTAATCATGATAAAAATGATAATAATAATTACGTTAAGTGAGAGCGAAAAAAAAATTGCAAAATATTCAAGAGAAAAGAAGATGAGAGAAAAAGTTCCAACTGAACTTTTCTCTTTCGTTTCTGATAATTTCAAGATAATTTTAACTTCATCGTAATCATTCATTCGGTAGATGAACTTTCACCCTGATCGATAATAATTAGACGATTTATGGAAATTTTGCGGATTTGTTGATGAGAGAGAGAAAATGTTACTTACCTTGTCTCATTGTTTTCGAAAATTAGTTCTCCATCATGTAGGACGAAATCACGATCATGACGAGCTGTTCCTTCAATTGTTTTAAAGGGAAGTATAACTTGCCCTCTAGCACCGGACACTCGGTTTACTTGAATGGGACAAGGTCCAACTGATTCTGAGATTTCAACCAAAGACTCTTTGAATCCAAATACACCAGAATGATCATCATCCAGAATCATTACCGTTGCAATCGGCGGTGTATCCAAATGTAGCCTAGGCCAATCCTTGTCTCCCTTTCCCAATTCTCGTCCATCATTATTAACATATCGAGGATTTGACAATCGACAGTAAAAATGTTCATCTTCCTCGAAAACATCATCGTCGATAACATGAATCGTTACCTAGAAAAATCAATTGAATCGTAAAAATTATTATCATTTCCAAAACAAAAAGTAATAACAATCGACTTTCCAAAATCCAATTAAATCATGAAAAACTAAATCTTAATCACATTTTGATTGTAGTTATTAAATTTTCACCGAAACTGATTGAACAAAATTCAATTGTTTTGTGTACATACAGTTGAATAGAATAATTTTTTATCCGATAAAAAGTTAAATCGTCAACGATGTGAATCAAATGTCTACATCAATACTAAAGTTACAGGATCAATAACTGTCATTTATTGATTGTTTACCTTGATTGTTAGCACGACAATTGAGTAAACTTGCAAGCAAGTGATGAATGGATTGGGTGACTTACCTGTTTCTGGATTTCTCCAGGAAAAAAAACAATCGTCTCCGAAACACCAATATAATCAGAACCGGCATTTGCTGTTCCATCCTCGGTGGTAAAATCGATGGCGATTGACCGAGCGGTATCACCTTCTCGATTAACGGTAACGTAAAAGTGACCAACATTTTCCATGACCGTATAATGAGCTGGATCGAAAAAAATTCTGATCAAGTTTTCATCCTTCTTTCCAAGTCCATCTTTTTTATCTTCCACCTTTTCCACTCTTCTCTTGACCATAGCCGAACCACCGGTCAACTTTTTGGTAGCCTAAAGGTACCAAAAAAAGAATGGGAAATTAATTGAGTTAACAAAGCTTAAAATGGACAAAACAATCAATGGAAATAAATTGGATCGATAATAACATGCAAGTAAAGAAACAATTCAAATGTAACAATTTACTGATTGTTCATTAACTGTGATTATGATGGTGATCAATTTTGTAGAGACTTAAGCTTAATCCTTTACATTGTGAGTTTTACTAATCAAAGTTAATTGGTTAGATTTTGATCACACATCTAATTGGAGGACTGGTAATGTTTTGACATTAAATTGTGTTACCAGATTAATGAATTCAAGTTAATTCGTAACTTAATTGTTCATCATCATGTTGATTACCAGTAGATTCATTCTGATCATAATCAGATGAAAACATCTAGATCTTTTTGTGTTTCATTATTACAACAATTTGCAACATGATGAGAAAAACTCATTGAAAGAGAAAGACAGATAATACTAACATTTAATGACCATGAAAGTTAAGGACTAATGTAAATGGACAATGGTCAAGATATGTAACATGTAATAAGTATTTGGGATAAGATCAAATTTTGTTTCTTTTTTGCTTTCAAGATTAACAACCGGACTTTGGATAAACAAAATCATCAAAAGAATCATCATCATCATCATCATCATCGGGATGAGATGGAAACTGTGACGAAGAAAAAACGATGACCATGGAAAAAGTTATTCCATGAATCTAAGAATCTGTACGAATGAGAAGAGAAAAACAAAATGGAGTCGAAAATGAAAGTTACATATTCCATCATGGTAATGGTTATAAATCTAATCAAGATTTGGAACTTTATAGACAGTAAATTCGAAAGAGAAATTGTAAAGATAAACATGATAAGAGAGAAAGAGAAATTCGAATGAGTTGAGTTTGTAAATGAATTTTTTTCTTTTTGGCAGAACTTTTATTTTTTTTTCTCGTCCCTTCATGTTGACATTATTCCAAAATGATGAATTTAGGTTATCCATGATAAGGTTCAGTCTATTTTCAGATTTTATCTTCATGTGATTATCTTCATCTTCAATTGTATCTCCTAAATTGTGTAACTTTACCTTTGAAAAGATTCCACCATGATAATCATCATCATCATGTTGGAAATTATCATTTCAATGAACTAAACTTGAAGTTCTAGTTTTTTTTTATATCCAAATAATATTATCAATCTGATACATTTAACTTTGAATTTAAAGTTAATGATAATCATTGTCAATTTGATGACCAGCGGATTATAATGATTAAATTGTTGACCCATGAATGATTTTTAGCTTTTAACAATTGGGATTAACTAGAAAATTCAATTTCCATTTTCAAAAAAAATTTAAAATTCTACATGGAAAAAGTTTCCATGATGATCTTTCAACTAAATATAACAGAAAATATCACAATTGATATTGACAGGATATGAGATAAACTTGTTTATATTGGTGACTTTCAATCAATACTTGTTGACAGATTATAATCATCTTATCATCCTCATCATCTTCAGGATGAGGATGATAACTATTAATATCATCATGTTATCATCTTCATCTTCATCTCCATCAATATGATGAAAAATGATTACAGAAAATCTTGTTTTCGATAGATATTTTTTTCCTTTTCTTTTAATTGAATATACCTTTGATATCTTTGATTAAAAATGATTGTTGACATTGATTTAATTGTTTGGATAACAAATTGTGATCAATTACAATGAAATCTAATATATATCATTGGGATGAACGGAAAATTTGATCAAACCAATCAAATGATTTAACTGGAAACCAATTAAATGATTAAATTGTTTAACTGGACATTGAATTTAATTGAATCACAAACTTAACAGCTAAAAATGTTTCTTCACAATTAACAATCAACAATCATTTAATTGTAGGATTGTTTTTACCTCTCCAATATGAGAATTAATTAAACACAATCAGTTGATTGAAAGTAATTTATAAATAAGTTTCCATACGATTGGCTAATATGGTTGAACGATTTTCAAAATCATCTCAACAATTTAAATCACCTGACAAATCATTAGAAATCAAATAACAAATCAAATCAAATTAATTCAGTTTATATTTGAATAGCAATTGATTGATCAACTGTTGAACCAAATCTATTATTATGATTAAATTATAATCTCTGTTAATTAACTTGAATTGGTTAAATAAACTGATAATCAAATTGTTGATAAGTTTTGATTGTCTACCAAATTTTAATAAGATGATTATGATCAATATCTTGAGGATAATCAATATATCATCTTCATGATAAGTATTGATATTTTTCAAGGTCAAGTGATTCTTGAATTAGTCAATACGAGAGATATATAAGAATCATGGTGATAATTCATTCATGAGGAGCCTGGAAACTCATGGACAAAGGTGATAAATAGTAGAGATGAAAATTGTGTTAATCATTATCATGAAATTCATGGTTGAAATCTGAAGAGTCTCTTGGATAGTATTTAAGTTAAAACTCAATAATATTAATCAAGATGAACCATTCTGAAAGTTTCCATCATGAATTTACCATGGAAAAAAACTCAGAAATGATTGATGGATATTATCATCATTCATATTCACATCTTCATCTTAACCACACCGTCATTATCCCTTTTTTTTATATCCATCAACTTAATCATCATGATAAAACTTTAAACCATCACTCATGATAACCTTAGTTAATAATGATAATTGATACAATTTAATTGTCTATTTAATATTGGAAAAAAATTTCCAATTTCCCGCCAAAAAAAATTCATTTTTCAAAAAGTTCTGATGAGAAAATCAGTCCTAGAATCGCTTCTGAATCATTATTCTCGATTCATCCTGTCTACCTTTTCTCTACCTGTTCCCGCATCTTTTTTCACCTAAATTGTTCATTTAATTTTCAATTGAATCTAATGAGTGTGAGAAAACAGATTATAACAATTTAACCTTGTTAAAAATTCATCATGAAACTTTTTTTCATTTCATGATGATTAATTAATCGGTGAGCTTAATACAATTAAAGCTTATTAACTTTCATTTGTAATTAAGTCACTGAAATGATTAGTGAATCAAGATGAGGATGGAAAATGTTTCAAAAAGTAATTCATTTTCATGATTATTTCCAGTGATCATCATGTTGATACAAACTTGAAGATATTATTGGAATAACTTGTTTTTGGAATAAAATATTTCACCTCATCCTTTTATCCTCATCCTCATCCTCCTCTTCATTTTCATTCTCAATTTAGACCTTGACTGTTTATTGATAACATTTTCATCTCTTCCAGAACTATTACTCATTCAGTCTCAGTCTTTTTTTCCATGGTGATTCCAAGGTAAAAGCTCATCATTAACTTTAGTTTTCCACAGATTGAAAATAGAGAATAAAAAAAAATTTCAATTCAATGAGAAAATTTTTCTTCTCTCCAATCATAATAATCATCATCATGGTCATGTTAACATTATCTTCATCTTATTCCATGTATTCACTGAATCTATTCAACTGAACAGTTTTCTATTATTATCGTTCCAAGTGTCTCCCTTTGCAAAGAAGTGAGAGAAAAAAATTCAAAATCTGGGTCAACCATTTGAACGAGAAATAAAAAAAAACAAATCACCGACAATTTAAAGGTAACCAATTGTGTTGACCAGTGGTCATCACACTTGGAAATAACAGTTTCGAATCAATTGAATAAATTGACTTTTCCAATATCTTTTCAATATGACAACACCCAAAATCCTATGAAAAATCCCTTTGACCTATTGATTGATTTTTCTCATTAAATTTTTCGATAATTTAAATGATTGATGTTGATTATCATTGATTATCGATTCATTTTAATAATATTAATACCTGGGAGTTGGGGAGAGAGTCAGAGTTAGATGAGATTAACTGAATAACCAAGAAATCGTAACGATAAAAGTGAATGAAACAAAAAAGATAATCAATCTTGACTTACAAAAGAATGAAAAAAAGAGAAAATAAAGAAAATATATTAATGGAAGATGGAATATTAATATTACTCATAATTTTCTGAATCTTTAAGAATCAGAATTTTCCCTGAATCTGGAATTCATAGGATCTTCCAACTCAACTTTTCTTTAATCATTATATGGTAAACGATAAAATCGTAATGTCCAGTTGATTGTTTCCTTGTTATTATTAATGTTTTTTTTTCGAGGTCAAAAGTCAAGGTTAACTTTATATTAGATGAATGGAAAAAAAGTTCTGAACAATATGAATCATTTTTCAGAATAAATCGTTGAAATCAATTTCCGTCCACTTTTGACCTTCCTGTCATTGTTCATAGTTGGATAATAATCAATTTCATCAAATTGTCATGAAATTTATTCTCTCTCTCTCTCTTTCTTTCTTCTTCTTCTTCATTTCTTATTCCTTGTTATCATCGAGAATTGAAACTCGAATTGCCTCAGGGTATAAACTGAAAGTAAACATTGGAAAGTTAAGAAATAGAAAAAGTAAAAAATACTTCTAAACTTTCATTCTGAATAATCTGATATATTTTCAGTTGATGGTAAATAAAAAAAATTGATACTTGTAAATATAAACCATTCATGTTACTTTATATTAGTTCAATTCTATTCATGACCATCAGGAATTAGGATTCGATATCAATCATATTATTAGTTATCAACTTGCACTTATAACAAAACTGAATCAACACTTAATCAACTTGATTTATTGATTGTGATGAAGATAAAGAGAGAGAGAGAGAGAGAGAGAGAGAGAGAGAGAGAGAGAGAGAGAGATAATATCAAAGTAATTTCTTAACTCAATGAATGATTCATGTAAGAAGCTATTGAGACATGATAAATAATTCATTGTTGATTAACATGAACCAATAAGTTCATTGGGTGTGAGGGCTGAGTGAATGATTAAGGTAAAAAAGGAAATTGTTGAAACAATAAGATAATCAGATGATTAAGGATATTTGCAATAATAAGAATCAACTAATTGTATATGACAACTAATGGATTCTCAAAGATAAGGTCATATAATATATGTATCGAAAATGATTTGAGAGAGAGAGAGAGAGAAAATCAAGTTTTACCTGAAGACGATAAAAGGCTCGACTTTTAGGTCCACGATTTATTATCTCTTCTCTTGCCATGTACTCAATATCTTCCATTGGTGCTTCAGGGTGTTTTTTCGAAGCTCACGAAGTATTCCAATAAATTCTCGGCGATGCTCTTCAAATTCTTTGGCATCTTCATTAACCTCAATATCTTCATCGGTCACTTTGAACATTCCACCATGATGATGATGATGATGATTCGATGAGGTGTTTACAGTTAATCCACTTTGATCATCAATATGATTTGAAATCATTTTATCTCCCATTTCAACATCTTCCCCATCACCACCTTCACCCTGTACAATTACACCTCGTCTATTCATACGGTAGTTTTTGGACAGGTATTTGTAGATTAGAAGACGACGATCGGCAATCCAAGCGGTTAACACGGTGGCCGGGAAGAAGGCAAAAGTAAGAAAGGCTTCCCACAGGTCAACAATTCCAGGTGAGATAACGGATAGAATTATAAAAAGCCAAATGTAGGCGAAAACTGACCAAACCATGGTAACAAAAAATACCCTTAGGTGTTTAATTTTTTTCACTTCAGTTGAGGGGACAACCCAAACACAAACAGCGATAATGACAAACATATTAAAAGCCGCTGAGCCGACAATTGTTCCAGGTCCAAGTTCACCGGCCTCATAGTTTTGTGCATAAACTTCAATAATTGATAATAATATTTCGGGTGCCGATGAGCCAAGAGCCATAAGGGTTAAATTGGAAACTGTTTCATTCCATATACGAACTGAGATGACTTGATACTCTCCGTTGGCCTTTTTTATTTTAACATCTCGTTCCTGGGAAGTGATCACCTCAATAGCGGCCATAAATTTATCCGCTATAATGGAAACACCAACAAAAAGGTAGACAAGGCTAAAAAAATAGAGTAATCCTCGGACGATCACATCGCCGCTGGAAAGGTTTTCCAATGGCCGCCAAACGGGTAAAACTAGGCCATCTTTACAGCTTAATCGATGGACAGATGAGGTTCGATTAGAGTAAACATTTGATGATGAAGATAACGATAGATCTGAAGTGAGTGAGTTAATCGATGAAGGTGCAATTAATAGGGATGAAAATGATGATTGAATATCTGATGTTGATTCAAATGATGATAATACAGAAGATAATAGAGATAAAGATGAAGATGATACTTGTTGTTGGGATGATGATGTTGAAGATGATTGTGATGGTGGTTGAGAAGAGGATGATAAAGGTGAAGGTGAAGATGAAGGTGAAAATGATGAAAATGATGTGGGATCTAAAGTTGATGAGGATAAAATTTTATCATCTAATTGTTCACGTGAAGAGATGTCGCTTAAACTATTAGGGTCAATATTGATTCCAATGGCTACTTGTTGTTGTCCATCAGCTGATTGACCCTCAATTGATACAGGTAAACAAATTAGAGTAATTAACAGTAATAATGATAATGAAGATGATAACAAAAGGCTTCCAAATGGTTTTAACGTTTTAATTACATGTTGAGTTAAATTGATTAATCCAGATGATTTCATCATGAAATTATCGGAGACACGATTAATTGGATGGTCGTGGTGATGATGTTTACTAATTGAACACAATTCAATCCTATGGGAAGATAATTAAGGAATGTAGAATCAGTTTAAATTGTAATCAATTCATTTCAAATGAAAATCAAGATTCAAATGATTAAATGGTCACAGAAAAAAAAGAGTATTAATAATTAAAAGTACTTTTAATCGTTGGTTAAATTGAATATTAATCTAAATGGTTAATTAACGGGATTTAGTTGAATTTTTTTCTACTCCATATTTGAACATTTAACATTGGAAAGATGGTGAAGACGATTAACATTTAAATGAGTTCATGAAGATGAGCATCTTCATCTTCATCATCATCATCATCATCATCAGCTGATTATAAGTAAACTTGGATCAGTCTCTAGATTTAAATGTTAACATAATCAATTATTGGACGAAAATCAAATGTTAAACAATTGGCGCCTTCTAGTGAACCTTAATTGTAATTTAATCTCAACAATTTACTGATTGTTGGCTCATCTTAATCTTTGACGAAACTCTTATTTCCATCAGTTGATTGTAAATGATTTAATAAAATCTATCTGATTGTGCATGTTGATCATTTAAACTAATCAATTGATTGATAACCAACATTGAATGTTAATCAGCAATTAAAATCCAAACTGATTGTTTGTTAATTAAACTAAAAGTCTTCTCCTTTTTTTTATTATTATTTTCATTAAAAAAAACAATAGAAAACGTTTACTATCATCAATGTTTAACAATTAACTCTGTTAATCTTTATATTGTGTCTCTATCTTAATCATGATTATCTCAACTGAGCTAAAATACAATCAAGTTGATTGCTGATCAACAAAAAAGTTCAATTAATATTCAAGTGGTTTAATCATAAATCAGAATGATTCTCAATTGAGATAATTTTGTTTCCCAATTTTAGTTCACGTTGTTGCCGATTTACTTGATTGTTTTTTTCTTAATCACAATTAAATCAACTGATTAAAAGGTGAGAGTAACATTTCTCATTCTATCTCATTGGTGGTAATTATAAATTGAAGGTGAAAAAAAAAGTTCTGAGCTCACAAGTTCAGACGGTATCGATTACTTTTTTTTACCATAAAGATCAGATGAGTATCATGAATCTCGGTGAAAAAAGTTCTGATAGCTCAGAGATCGTCTCTTGATCTGTGTATTGCTTTTTTTAATGTTACTTCTTAGTCTTTTAATTCCAACCCTTATCATGTCGTGGAGGAAAAAGTTTTCCCACTCTCCTCCTCTTCTTCCTCCTCCTGTTCATCTATTTGTTCACAATCTCAGTCAAAATGAACTTTGTTCAAGTTTCCATGATAATGATAGTTGAGAACATGATCAAAATCAATTGGAAGGATATATTATATCCTTATATCTATCTTGATGATGATCTTCATCCAGAATTTACCCTGCAACTCATTTTCTCCTTCCTTATATATATATAAGTTTCTCATCACTTTCATGGTAGTAGTTTTTTTCTTCTCACTCTAATCTGTGGGTGTGAAAATAGGTTCATGATAATTTCTCGTTGTGTTCATGGAACTGATGAGTCTGGAAAATTTAAATCAACTCTGAACTTTTTTTTCTCTTCTCAACTTTTCATCATGAAATTTGAACAAAATGTATCAAGTTTGTTAGAAAGTTTAAAAAGAGATCGTAATGAAAAAAAAGTTCTGTGAGAATAATCTATCTGGTTCAGTATTAATTATCTAACAATTAACATGAGAATCATGTAAGAATAGAAGGAAGAGAAACTTTAAAATTCTCAGAATTGGAAATGTTCATAATTTCATGGAAAAGATAATACATTTCGAACTTTTGATTGAAGAGAATTGGTTTTCTTCTTTCTTTTTTTCTCCACCATTAAAACTTACCCAGTGCTGAGTTTTTTACACTTGGACAGATAGACATTCTCATCTGGTTCATCATCCAGTTGGTGAGAATTTGAGTTTATAGTTGAATCTTCCATGAAATGGAATCAAATATTTTCAAAACTCTGACAATTTCAGTTGATAGGTTTTATCATGATTCCATGGACATTGTAATGCTCAGCCCAGATCGAAAGTTAGATCACATCAGAACGAATCAACTGTGAGAAGAATCGAGAGGAAAAAGTTAAAACGCTATTTATTTGTATTTGCGATTGGAAATATTTTAAAATTCTGAGAAAAAATCAGCATACTGGACATTGAATAGTGACCATTTTCCAATGAATGACAATCCATTATTTACACTAAATTAAAGTTCATTTATCATTTACTATAAGAAATCTGAGAAAAGAAAATCTTTTATCTTCTTTTTAGAACCTTGTTCATTCTGATTCCATCATCATGAAATTACCATGGTTTTTATTTAACTTTCTCTTGGTTGATTTTGAAATTCTATTCACAGTAAACATTTCACTTTTTCTCATTGAGATAATCGTCATTATGATTACATCTAAATTGGAATTGGATTCATTATTTAGATTAAGTTTCCATCTCAATATCTTTGACCTTCTTCCTAATGTGGTTTCCTCTTTATCTCCATATGAATGAAATCAGATGCCCATGAAATTTTCATTTTCCCTGTTAAGATTCACATTATGAACCCATAGAAAATCATAAGGTAGAAATTCAATTCATCATGTACATAATCATTTCTTTTCTAATGTTCATGATAGAGGGAGAAGAGGAAAAGATAGAAAAATAAAAAAAAGTTCATTTCGATTAACAATGGAAACACCAGAATTGATTAAGATCAATTTACACCATGAAGCAAGTGAGAGAAAAAAAATCCATGATATTCAATTAAAATGGAACAGAAGATTTTGTTAAAGAAAAATAAAAGTTCTGAACATTATCATAAACCTCGAAGATTTGAATTGTAAAGATAATCAAAATGATGCTCAAAAGTATCACAGTTAACGCAATAATCAACAAAAGAAATCAAATTATTGACCTTAATCAAATTTAGTTGGATTATATTATCTCTATCCTTTGAGAAAATTCAGACAATCATTCAGAATTATTCATCTTAGTATCATCACCATGACATCAGTTCATGATAATATTAACATTCAAATGATTTAATAAAAAAAGTTGCAATTCTTAACCTTGGTTTGTATTTAGAGAAAAATTTTTCTTTGTTCAAATAATCAAATGCTCAGTATTTGGTGCAAATAATATTATCACCATGATTATTGTTGTTATCATTATGACTATTGTGATATTTATTATGATTACGTGAACTTTTTTGATTCGCTGAAAAAATAAAAGTTCAAATACTTTCGAAAATAAATAAAAATGAAAAATATTTTCTTTTTTCTTCAGCTATCTCCATGAAAATGTTATCTATTTTCATGAGAGGTTTTTTCTTCTTCGTATTATCATTGTTACTATTTGTAAACTAGCAAATTTAATTCAGTCATTCGCTGATAAATAATGTTCATTTGTTATTGCAAATCTTGTTTGCATGTTCTATAACTGAATTCAGTTCTAAGTCAAGTTGTTAAAAATGTTTTCAATTGGCAAGGTAAAGAGTTGAGTGAATGTTTAATCAGAATAATCTTCGAAAAATTTTTCGTTTCACTTATAACAATCGTTTCAAGAGTTATGATCTAAATACAGTCGTCCCAACCAAAAAGAAACAGTTTGCAACGAGCAAGAAACGGGGGTGGGGAAGAATTTATTACACTTGTCTTCCAACCTAAAGGTTATGACCTCTACAAAAGCATGAAATAGTGAATAAGATGAGTGAATGGTTAGGTTGAAACTGCAGCAATGGATGATTTAGTTGATAAAATTAAAGAAAATTACGATATCGATGTTTGCCAATCAACTGTACGTTGCAGTGGAGATATAGTGGATTTCATTTTCTTCAGTAGATCATTTGTACCTGTTAGAAGGAATACACCTGGATTGAAGGATTATCGTTACAATTATGCTATTGATTTTTTACGATTAGATACTAGTGATCGTGATAAGAACTTTTTCTTAGATGAAACTGGAATACAAGTTCATGCTGGATTAAGATACGGTTGGTCAAAGCAAGGTAATAGAGCTAATCTCGGTGTTGGTGCTGTTCGCGATAAAAGTTTCTCAATTTCCGCGGCAATGAACCACCTGCAATTGTTTTTCTACGAGTGTAAAGAAACCGCTTACAATTCAGCAAGTTTCATTGAGTATCTTCAACAATTCATTCAATTATTGAATATCGAAGTATTCGAAACAATTACATAAACAGTATGTTTGGTTCAAAAATTATCGCTCTAGGCTATCAAAAATTCTGCGGGAATGGAATAGACTGGCCACCTTATAGCCCTGATTTAAACCCATTCGACTTTTTATGGGGATTTTTTAAGGATAGAGTTTATGCTCATAAACCAAAAAATACTAGAAAGTGCAAACAAATCTGCGGTTAAAACTATCGATAATGATATGCGGAATCGGGCATTTCTCTCATTTGTAAGAAGGCTTGTATTTTCTGCAAACTCAAATGGCGGTCACTTTGAGTACATCAAACATTAACCGCAAAGTGTTAGCAATCGTTCTGTTGAGTTTTTAGCACAAAAATCGGCAAAGTAGAAATAAAGATGCCACTCAAAAAAGCCACATATAATTGTCACCCTGTACGCTCAGGTGGCAGATATTCAACGAAGCTTTGCTAATGACGAACCAGACTCTCCTACACCTTCGGCGCTGTAACTCAAGGTGTTTGTGTCACAATCGCACCAGAGTTATGTGAATTCGAAACACCTAAATATCGCGATGAAATGTAAGTACTTGATATTTTCTGTAATTATCTTCAGAGAAACAGTTCGGACTATTCTTAAATACCAAGTCTGGAAAAACTCAATCACAACATTACCTGAGCTCAAAAATGCCATAATCTCAGCTTTTAATTCTGTCAAAAAATATACTTGTAATGCAGTAATTCAAAACGTTGAAAAACGGCTTACTTCGGTTATCGGTCGCGATAGAGATATTTTTGACCCATAAAATAATTTAAGCATACTAGCAAATGCTCAATGCAAAATTTTGGTAATATTATGGGGTTCATAGCAAAACGCACCAAACTGCCCGCGCTGTAGTTTTTTTTTGTAAAGTAGGTAGAGACACTAAACCTTGTATTTCTAACAATTCAAGTGTGCTCTTTTTTTTATGAAGTTAATTTTTTTTCTGCATGATGGATCGAATAAAATTAATTGCAGAAGCTACATCAGGCTATGATCAACGTCTAATTGCTCGACATTACCTCGCTCTTGGTAAAAGATTGGTTGAAACTCGTCAAAATCTACGGAGGGATGGCCTTAAGTGAACCTACACTGAAAAGAGTGTCTAAAAATAAGGAATGGCAACGCTGATATGAAAGACTAAAGAGGAGGTTAAGGATCCTGAAATTATAGAACAACGTGGAGTCTATAGAGGCAATAAACGCATCGAGACATTGGTCTTTGAAGGTCTTATCAGCAAAATTTCAAATTCCTAAATCAGCCATAGGCAAATATATTGTCACAAAATTAATATTAGATAAAAAAGAATGATTAAATGGTGTGTGATCAAATCAACAAACAATTAAAAAACTAATAAATTCAATCATGATTAACAATCAGCAATTAATTATTGATTGGTAATTAAGATAACGATGATGAGAAAACAACATGAGAATGTTGATGATTATGATGAAACATGATGTTCTGGTGATGATGATGAGAAAACAAATGATTATGATGATGATAATGATAATGATACTGTAATGATGATGATGAGATTGTGGTGGCTATAAGTCACCATCATTTCCATAATCAACAACAATTAATTGTGACAATTAATCAATCAACAGTAATAGTCAACAGTACAATCAACAGTAACAATCCACAGTAATAATCATCGTTATCATCGTCATGAAACCATCATCATCATCGTCGAGGTTGGTTCTTTTCCTTTCTTTCTTTCTTTCTCCTTCTCTTCCTCCTTAAACTCATTGTCGGGTAGTCCGATAATTGAGTTTATCCTTTCCCTTTTCTTTCGTTCTGATCGAGATCGGGAGTCCGATCTGGTAGACTGACTTGATGAGTTTCTCATTCTTTTTCTCTTTCTTTTGGTTCTCTTTCTCTCTTTATCTTTTCGAAGATATTCCATTATCTAAGTGATTGAAAGATTGGATAAATTGTTTGATCGTGTAGAACGATCGATAATGATCAAGTTCGAACCTGACCTCCCCACAGATATTATATTCAACTCTTAATCAATTAATTGACATTCTTAATTGTTAATCTCGATCTTAATTGTTATTCCTTATTATTAATTATTCGATTATTGTACCAAGGTGGAGGAAATTAATGATACCGTTTTCGGAATTTTTTATTTAAGAATCAGAATATTCAAGAATTATGAAAAATTGTGAATAGAGAGCTGAAAGTCTCAACTTTCGAAATAAGTTGAAAAAATTATTAAAAAATCAGTAGTTTTGTTAATTAATTAATTTTTCTAAAAATGTCCATTTTGAAAAATTTTAATTTGAAAAGTCCCATAGACTTAACATGGAGGAAAAGTTCAATTTAACATGTAAAAATTTTCCTCTTCAACTTTTCCGGTTTTTTGTATCCTTTTCTATGTTAAAACTCTAAAAAATTTAAAAAGAGGTAATTGCACTAAATGGACAATTGCGAGGATATTATTTAATTAACGAAAAAATTAATTTCAGATTTATTAATTTGACATACGAGAGCAGCATAATAATCAAAAAAATCATTTCTATCAATAGTTTTCGAAACATAATTAATTTTCAAAATCGGTATCATTAATTTCCTCCACCTTGGTAATCCTCTTCATCTTAATGTAATCTCAGTTAATTAATTATTCTCAGGTGGTCAATTTGACGATTAATTCTCTCTAATTCTCCCGAATTTTCCGAGAAAAGGTATAAAAGAAAATAGTTTCGATAGAATTGATAAGAGAAGAATAATTATCATTAACTCTTAACCCACAAAGTCCATTAATTATCCTGTTTAACTTTATGTATTGTTTTATTATTCACTGTGTTTCGACATTAAAGTTCATTTAATCAAGAAGATCACTTTCTACTTTCAACATTGTGCTCGTCATA